ATTTATATATATGCATTTATATAGATTAAAAATATGAAATATCTTTTTTGGGGGGGGTTAACACCATCTTGTTTTACATTGCTGTGCTTGTTACTTGTTTAAAACATTACTCGTTTTACCTTGGAGTACCATGTAAATACCATAGTACATGTAGCTTTACTACTAACACTGCTTGCCTTTTTAAGGGTAAACACTCATTTGGAGAATAGTACAGTGATGCACTCTAAAAAATGCTGGGTTAAAAACAACCCAGGTAAAATATGGACAAACCCAGCGACAGGGTTGTTTTGACCCAGCGGTTAGGTTAACTGTTTAACCCAGCCTTCTGGGTAGTTTTATTTAACTCAACTATTCTTTAAAAATTACTATATGGCTGGCTTAAAATTAACGCAAAATAGGTTGTAAATTAAAAATTGAAGACACATAATTACTAGAGGCATCAGCCATAACCAAAAGGTAAGCAATTTTTAAAAAATGGTCATTATTTAATTATTATTTATTCAACTTATTAATAAATGTTCATTTGTTGAACATAATAAATGTTCATTTCCAACCTATTTTGGGTTCATTAAATAAAACTACCCAGAAGGTTGGGTTAAACATTTAACCCAGCATTTTTTTAGAGTGTGGTATTAGATGGTATTTTGATATATACTCAATTAATGCCATATTCATGTAATAGCCTGATATGTTTTCATGGGACTCTCAAGCAATTACCACGTCCTCAAATATCATGAAAAAGCTGTTTTTGTTTGGAAAGTGTCAGTACTTTTCCTGATGTTAAGGCAATGGGAACACCTTTTTTGAGGTTTCTCAGATCCGAGGCGCTGTTTGGTGTCTAACAGATTTTAGAGCCCTCTACAGGACACAAACAAAACTGCACCTAAAACCAAATCCAAAGGTTAGAAGGCTTGGAGAAACACCTGAATCCATGGCTCCTGGGACATCCTGTGCAGTAAGATGCCTGTAAACATACAACAAATAAAGTACATGATGGAGACGCCACATCTAAGACTCTAGAATTGAGCTCCAACGCAACGCAGGAATTCAGGTGACCTGACAAAGCCTGCTGAGAAGAAAACAATCCAAATAAAATCTTATTAAACACTGTTTATTAAACACTCAAGTTCAAAGCACCTCTAGTGGTGTTCCTGTAATGCACTCAAGACAGAGAACATCTCCGAACTCCAACTTTGTTCTGGTTTCGGTCAAGAACCTTTTCCGTAATAATAATTCTAGAACAGTTCCGATCCTGCAGTCTCAAGATTCTAGATTTTTTTCCCCCGTTTTTAAACACAGAACAAAATTTGATTTGGTCACAGTGGTGGCATGTTTCTCGGAAACCCCGAAGCGGTCGACGGTCTCGAGTCTGTAACGTACTACGATAAATATGACAAATGACAAACTAACAACATCATTTTGATTTTATGGGAAACATATAAAGTTTTACACAGGAAGTCATAAAGGTCTTATTATTTCTAGAAAGAATATAAATTAATTTATAGCCTTCTGTTTCAGAAGAAGTTGTACTCTATGTAGTAAACGAGAGAAAGAACTGTACAAGGCCGCTTCTGTTCTGGGGTTTCAATCAAGTCCTGTAAGGTCCGTGTGGTTTGGGGAACTAGTGTTTTCCGTTGCCTTTGGTCCTCAGGTCCTGTCGGGTCTCCGTAGCCCATCCTGCTGGTCTGTTTTGGGTCAGACGATCTGGTGAGAGTGAGTCTATCATACACGTGCTACACGTCTAGTGTTCACTTTTTGGACAGGAATTTCATCTTGTGTCCTAAGAGAAAAGAGAGAGGAAAGAGAAAGGCTCAAAATCCCACTCAGACACAAATCTTTATTTACTTCACAAATACTGGTCCATCAGACTAAGGCTGTTCAGAATGGAATACCAGCTGACTGCATACTGTGTGTGTTTTTTTTTAAACATTGCTGAAAAATAGCTATTTTGCATTTTAGTCCATTTTTGTCCATTTAAGTTCATCCAGTTATTTAGAGATTTAAAAAAAAAAAAAATCAAATTGAGTGGATTGCATTGAATTTGTTGATTGCACGGTATTTGCATTCAATGCAAAATGTTATCTCTATCAAATAAAATATATAAGAAATAAAATATAAACATTTATTTTATTATATGATCAAAATGTCACTTTTTTATTGATATAATATACTTAATATATATTTTATAGTAAGTGTGTGTGTGTGTCTGTGTGCGTGCGTGCGTGCGTGCGTGCGTGTCTGTGTGTGTCTGTGTGTGTGTTTAATATCATTTATTTAATCAAAACTTTCTCAAGAATGTGAATAAACTTTAGTACTTTTTTTTAACAGGTCCCAAATAAGAATCAGTTCTAAATTTCCAGCCAGACTGATCAGGATATTCTATATATAGAAAAGATATGCATATACTGCAGAAACGGTATGTCATTCCAAACATGTCCTAATTCTTTGATTTGATTCTTTGATTAGATCTGCATTACCTAAACCTTTGAGGAACTTGTTGACGCCTCTGTTCTCACTGCCTGGCAGAGAATCGAGGTAATCCTGAGCCCTCATCTCAAACAAACCTGTTCAAAAACACAATATGGCTGTTAAACACTACTATAAAACACTATAAACGGTTTACAAATCCTCACATATAAAGTGTATTTCCCAAGATTCAAACCTTTCAGGCCCTGCCTCCGAAACTCTCTTTCCTGCACAAACCCCGCAAACGTCTGCGTCTCCATGAAGACCTCCAGGAATCTGCGCAGGCTCTTGGAGGACACGGCTTTACGAAACGCCTCGCGCTGGAAGGACGAAGGAGTCGGAGAGGAGGAAGACGAGGCAGAGGATTCTTCATCACGGTCACTGCCGCCCATAAAGAGCGAGTAATGACCCACAATCTCCACGAAGAACCGCACAAACGCCTCTGACACCACACTGCTCAGAGAACTGGGCTCTAATGAGGAAAATGAAATGAAAACTAGTCCATGTAATGAAGTAGTGAAAAAAATCATCACACCTGATCCAATCAAAATCCTTTCACATTACACCGCCCTGCATCATATTTGCTGAATATTTGTAAGCTGAAGAAGTCTTGTATTCTCCCTTAATCAGCAGAAAAACTGCCACAAAAACATGATTGCTGTCTTCATCTGAGTCAGATCACAACTATTTGTTCAATTCTCAGCACATTTTCACTTGCATGATATTATTTTATGCCTAATCCTGATTTCAAGGTTAAAATTACGGCCAGTGATGCAAACAAGAGCTGGATGTTTTCTGCATCCAAACAGCCACAGAAAATGACAGATTTTGTGAAAAAAAGCTTATTTTGCAAAGTTCTTTGACATTAAATAGAGCATCAGAACATATTTTCCCACTCCTTTGCTGATTGTAAGTTAAATGATAAATACTGAATAATACTTACTTTTGTCATTAAAGCCAAAACTTTTTAAATTTGACTGCTTTTGTTATTTTGACAATTATAGTTAACTAAAAATGAAAGTAAAACTCTTTTAAAAACCAAATTTTGTTACTTAAACATTTAATTTAATTTAATTTAATTTAATTTAATTTAATTTAATTTAATTTAATTTAATTTAATTTAATTTAATTTAATTTAATTTAATTTAATTTAATTTAATTTAATTTAATTTAATTTAATTTAATTTAATTTAATTTAATTTAATTTAATTTAATTTAATTTAATTTAATTTAATTTAATTTAATTTAATTTAATTTAATTTAATTTAATTTAATTTAATTTAATTTAATTTAATTTAATTTAATTTAATTTAATTTAATTTAATTTAATTATCTTTTTATTTCAGCTAGATGCCAAGGCAACATTTCTCAGTTTAATTTAGTTTAACTTGATGTAGTAAAATAACCAAAACTAAAATAAAAATTAATAAAAACTATATAGACATATATAAAATAAACTACTAAAAAACACAACAAAATTAATAAAATTTTAACTAAAACTAAAATGAAAACAGAAAATCTAAAAACAAAAAACTATAATAGCATCTTAATGGTACTAAAATAACACTGCTGACAAGCGCATTAAAGCTGATACATATATATATATATATATATATATATCATTTCAAAAATCTTCGGTAACACTAAAAGCCTTGTATAATAATATATGTGCAATGCATTATAAAGGTATTCATAATGTACAATGTAATGCATTATGTTTTCATAAATAGCCAAAGTTAAAATGCAGTAAATTATTTGAAGTTTTATTTGTCATGAGTTTTAATGCATTATACTTTCTAAAGGCGTAACAATGAATAGATAAGTAGTATAATGTATTTTAACTGTGGTTACAATTTTTCATGAGATCATACAATGCATTATATTTATAGGCTTTAAGTAAAGTATTACCAAATCATTCTTATTTTGTAAAAAACAAAATACATGATGGAAAGTTTTTATTGATGTTTTTGAACTCAGCATCATCAGCTAATATTAGGCCTTTTTTTTCAAGATGCAGGGCTGTGTTATCTTTCTAACCCCTGAATATAACGGATCAGACGGTAAATTACCATTTGGATGATCTGCCACGTCACACGCCAGTTCCTTCCTCCGTTCTAGAACGTGTTCGAGAGCAGCCTGGAGTTTATGAGGCAGAATTGAATCCTCATCGTCCATCTGAAACAGAAAACACAAACACAGACTTGCTTTGCTTCATCATTGAAACACAGAACCAGCCTAAATTAAAAAGATAAGACAAAAACTGCATTCAGCAGCCATCGAGTACCGTACCTGTCGCAGGAAACGACTGTTGCCAAGGTCGACCACCAGGACCTGAAAGAGAGCAGAGGACACAGTGACGTCATTTCCTCCTGCACTGGCGATCTCAGCCTTTTCCCCCTATCGCAGCTAATGTGAAGAGGTCAGAGGTCAGGGCTGCCCACCTGAACAGGAAGTGCTCAGAGAGAAATATTACAAATGTGTCCAGCCTCTGATCTTCTCTGTTAAAGAGCCCAATCCGGTTCTTTTGTCTATCCGTAAATGTATGTATATATAGAATATTAACACCGCATCCTAGACTTTATTGGTCTTGTTTCCTTCCCACATTAGTCATAATGAGGTGTAACATTCAAGAGGTCACAGGTCAAAATAGCTTTGGAGATATTCTCTGGCTATGTTCCTAACAGCATACTACCATATCGACTGTATTACTTTAGCAGTACACAGGCTGTGCATCTGCCAAAATGTGCAGTATACAACCAGAGAAGTACATGGAATACTCTATCCCACAATGCAATGCAATTGCAATCTCTGTCTTGACTCATTATTTGATCAAACTGTTAAAAACATAAATAAAACTGTTAAAGAATGCTAAAAATGTATTTCTATTTTCTTTAAACGTGCAACATAAGTAAAACGCTTATGGTTGCATACTGCATACCAATCATTGTAAATTAAAACGAGGACAACAACTAAAAAATTAAAAAATTTGTTAACAAATACATTTTTTTTTTTAAATAAACTAAAATAAAAAACATTATGACTTTGAAACTGATTACAAAACATATATAAATAAAAATAAACATGATTGTAATTTATTTAATTATAATTAATAACAAAATATTCTCCATTCTCTACTTATCCCTTAATATAAAAAGTAAAACTAACATAAAATACACTGTACAGAAAAAAATCAAAAAAAAAAAAAAACCAAAACAAGAACTGACCAACAAAATGCAAAATAAACTAGAGAGACAAATAGAAAATGAAATGGAAATAAAAAACTACATATAAAAATGTATTAAGTATTACAATCATGCTGCACAGAAAGTACATTTTGCAATAATAACATTGTTCAAAATATGTAATAACAATAATAATAACAATGAGAAAAACAATCATTATTATCAGTTTATCGTTGTAATAAAAAAAGAAATGATTAAAAATACAATTAAAAAAATATTTTAAAATATATGGCAGTGTGATTAATAAACATTTTCACTTGTTTTCACTGAATGCATTATTTTATTTATTATTTTTTAACAGCTATATTTGCTCTGTAATCTTGATGTCTTCAGTCTGTGAAGAGCTGTTTCCATCCACTAAAACTTATTAGGAAGCAGATTTCTTCTCTTATTTGAGGGACGACACATTATACGATTCTTGTGAAAGGAAGGGGAAGGGAAGGGAAGGGAAGGGAAGGGAAGGGAAGG